TTGCTGATGGCAAAAAGATCGATAGAACTAGCTGAGATACATGCAAGGCGAAGGACCCGGATGGTGTAGTGGTGAAGTGCGCTGCTCCCCGGTAAGGACAACAGCGCGTGTTCGTTCCCCACTGCATACACCTGTGGTCCGGAGTTTTGCAAATATCTCAGCACTTCATACGAGTTATATTTCACAACATACCCTGCCATTAAGAAGAAAAAGGCAGTAAATAAAAGCGTTAAGACAAGGAAGAACATTAAAATTAAAATTAAGAAGAAATGAGGTATATTCTCAACTTAATCTTCTAAGGTCATCCAATGCTACAAAAACTGGAACCATTTTATAACTTTGGTAAGGTAATACACCTAAACTTTTAAGAACACTCTAAATAATTACATTACATACCATCAATTAATTAATCAATTTAGTCACAGACCTTGTGGAATTACGACAATCTCTTGTATACCGACGAGAACACGTCCGAATTCGGTGGTAATTTTTAGTTCACCTTCTTGTGGAACTAAACGATAAAGCGTTGTAAAGACGACAAAGCCATTTATCAAAGAAAAGAAAATATCATAAAATATAAAACCAAGATTTTTACTAACCACAAAGAAATCTTCCATAGGAACATAGCAATTCAATAAATTTAAAAATGGCATTTCCAACTTTGAAACAAAATATCAGCTTATAATAAATTTTGTTAATTGCAACGAAAACTGCTAGAACCTAGAAATGTTTTCCAACAGCAGAAAAATTCTCATGTTTTGCCATGATTATATTATGGTTTTCTAGGAGACACGACATATACTTCTCTTGCTTTAGTGTTTCGAAGTTCTCATTTCGAACACGAAAGGCAATGAACAAGTGGAATTTCGTCCAGGAGGACATATTTGCAACTACTGCTATTTGTATCGTGTTGTGGCGCGTGTAGCGCAGTGGTCGGAGGCGCCCTGCAATACCTATATGATCGATACCAGCTCCCATAGCCCACCAAGCCTTCCATTCCTCAGGAGTCGGCAAATTGGTACCAGGCCTCTCTGGAAGGATAGCAGTACTAGCGCGATACTTCCAACAGTAGGCAATCGTGAGTGATCGTAAAGGCCAGATACGCATTCAGTCACCTCCAGTGATGCTTAATGAAGCCGAATGTATGGCGCATCTCTTAGGAATTGATCAACGCCGAGATCCTTATCCCCCTATGTTGTGTTATCAATATCTTAAAAGTTCTAATCCAAAACATGTTTAAATTACATGGAACACTGTAGAAAATATGCGTGAAATCAATGCAATAGAGCAAAGTTTGTTCTCTAAAGGCGTGAAGTTCTGAACTTTTGAAACACTGCAGCGATCGAGAAATTACCGTCTGTTCTCGAAATCGTCGTAAATTTGTTTGAAAAATATTAAAATAAGTAAGTTTTTTCGAAGTTTTAACACCAACTGTAGACGAGGATATTATCGGACCGTTTTGTCATAGACTAAAGGAAATTCTATGTTAAGAATATTATTATTATAGAATATATGGAATGTATTAAGGTCGCTGTGACGTCGGTTGTGGATTAGCAGTGACGCCATTCAATATATGACATACTTTCGTATTAATATTTCCATTTTATACCAGACAAATAGGTAGAAATGCTGTCGGAAATATTCACTGGCAATCACTTCTCTTACAACGAACGCTATCTATGCACAATGTTCTCATTCAGATTACTGCTACAGCTAAAATACCTATCGTTAAGTGCATACTAGTAACCAATAAAGTAATAATGATTATGCGACTAGCGCAGTAGTAATGTCAATCTGTACCCACATAGTCTCGGTTCGACCCCGCCCCAAATCAGTCAAGCCTCTCATCCCTATGAGATCCGGAAACAGGTACGAAACTTTCCTGATATCACATCACAGAAGTTAATAAGTGGTCGAGATGAAAACCTTGTATGGTTAATCCAGGGTTTTTGGAAAAATTGATTCGACCAGTATTCAAGACATTCATAAAGAACACCAAAACTCCTCAAACCTTAGGCGAACCCAGCTGCGAAAAATTCGAAGAACTTCGTGGATGGATGCGAGGAAATGGATCAGATGCAGGAAATGCTATGATCCGCATATGTGATTTAGGGTATTGGAAAAACAACAACGACCTCAATCATTTAGAAAGACATACAGTAATCTGCTAACAAACACATGGACGCTTCTCAACAATGTTTCTGTCAAAATATGCACAGCAACGAATTCAAAACATTCACTGATTCACTCTGTTGATAACTTCTGTACAGTTTGCACCAAAATTATTATATTATATTTGGTTTATTTACAAGACCCTCATAACAACCACTGTGCCGACCCTAGCACTTTTCATATTTGATTCGCTTCCTCGCATTCAAGAACCACGAACGCCTTCTAACTTTTACGTGTGGCTTCGGCTGCTGATTGAAGATTTCGTCTTCTTTTTATGAATGTAGCAGAACGCTACCCGAGTCCATTCTCCTTGCAATCTTCGGGACAGTCGAACTAAGACGTTTCCACTTGGAATGAAAGTATGGCGGAAGCCGAATCAACACCTCTACACAGTAATTCAAAGAACGTTCCTTATTTTAGCCAAAAACACTTCAGCTTCCAACAAGCAGATATGTTCATCCTTCGAAAAATTGTTGCGTTGAGCAGCTTGTGAATTAGATTTCTACCATATCAGTAATCTTTTGCCAGTTTTTTTAAGTAAAGTTGTGGGATTCCTTTCTGGAAAACACATATGAAGAGCGCTGAATTTTACAAGAATGAGGTCTACTATCGTCAACACTGATTCTCTCAACTTATTGTCAAAATTGTGATTTTTTTCACATGACTTTGACAGTGGAAACAAAATTTTGATAGAACTTGCGATGAAAAATTCTAAACTTATAGCCGAGATGGTCACTAGATTTTTCAAATCTTGTGTATGTTACATACAACACTTGTGATTCGCTCTAAATAGGCAAAATGAAGGAGAAGAAAACTTACCGATTAGGAAATCGCCATCAGCATTGTAAAATGCCTTACCAGTCATCGATGAGTTGCAAGCATATTGATGTATAGCGATACCAGAACGTGATACCACATCTCCACCACCACATATGGTGTAGAGACCATGAAACACACACCTTATTAATGGAACCGTTACGATTCTTCTCCGATCCTAATCTCACTGCATCGATTAGTTCCGACAAAGAGATGATATGCAAATAAGAGAAAACTCGGCTGAGTACACAACACTCACTAAGTGGTCTTCCTCGCTTAGTTTCCTCACACGTTCACTAAGAAATAAAAGACCGAATTATAATTACCTGAACGAAATCCACTCCCTTCACCTTTGGAAACGGAAACGGATGCCACCTATATTGATTAGGACTTGGTTCGATCCCAGCAAAATTATTGGTGCAGTTCTCAAACAAGACTTTCTCAAAGGGCTCATGTATTACGGAAGGACGAATGCGATACAGCCAGCTGGAAAAGTGTCATAAAATCAACGGCTAAGTTCAGGGTGAGTATTTTACTCGGACTACTCATTCAGAACTAGCACAGCTAAAGACTCGGTGATCGTGAGCTATTTCTTTCATTAGATTCAAAAAAAAAATAAGGATCTAAAATTTGAAATATCGCGACACAGTCGACAACGTTACTCATGAGTTGAATAAGGCAATCCGGACCCAAATTCAATTAGGACATCCAGCCCTCTGTCGGAGGATACGAGGAAGGACGGAGAATCATCACTGCTGTGACACATTCTCTAACACGATTTAGTACTCGAATTGACGGCCAAAGAAAGGAAATATAATTTCTATAAAATGAGCTCGCAGAGGACAAAAGTAAAACAGCGAGCTTAAAAGGCCAACTAAAAGAGAACAGGTCATACAACCTACACGGAAACCCAAAATGCATACGAAAAATCTTGGATAACTGAGTACCCAAGAACTTGACATAGAAAACTTTCCCGAAATATCGTTTTTTATTTTACTTGATTGAATTGAAATTAAAAAAACATTAATACCATAAAACTTCCCCATTTTCGATGCAAATGCTGTAGCCACCAGCATGAACGACAAATTCGTGGACATAATCTTTTGCGACTGGACGAATTCCTACTCATCTACTCTGTTCAATTCTTGAACTAGGGGTCTCGACATGTATAAAGAAACCCTCTTTTGTAGGTGCCCGTCACTTTATCTTGATGGGAAGAGCAAATTTTTACGTTCTTGAACAAAATAGGAGGATTTTAACGATTTCCACTTCAACTATATTTTTTAACAACTGACGACTTTAAGACGTTAACTGTGGCTCTGATGAAGACGAAGGCTTCGAAACGTTAGCCGTATAAACCTTACTAAGCCAAATAAATCTTGTTACCAACAACGTGTAAGCTCAACAATTTAAACGAATATATGTTTGAAATTGTAAGAATAAACTACTGTCGGTCACACATCCACTGAAATCGATGAGCAACATCACCAATGTGTTAAAGAGAAGAGCGTGTTTAGTGCTGAAGAGCTTAAATATCTCCGGATATCCAATTAACCATTTCCAATTCCAAACTCTTTCTCATCTTAATCTCATGGCGTAACAATCATATTACATTACATTGCTAATAGGCGATTGGTGATGGCAGCGTTAGGAAGAAAAACTAGCTGAGAGAAACGCAAAGCAAGAGCTTCCGCGGTGCAGCGTGTAATGCGCGAGCCCCCGGAAAGGGAAATCGTGGTCCTGTTTGCACCGCAGTCCAAGTTTTGTGAATATCTCAGCATCATCGTGGCTGTATTTCACATCATACTCCGCCGTGAAAAATTGTAATAGGCAGCGAATAAAGGGTTAACAATGCCATTACTTTCCAAGCTCTTTTTTTTTAAATTAAAAATTTAAATAACGAGAAATTCCACAGAAATAGCAAACCTCCTCTTGTTCATAAGACGTGGAGCAGTAAATGCAGTCCCACTCAACTGCTCCGCATACAGACCGTAAGGACATTTCTGAAGAAAAAAGTGATGGACATTTAGTGAACTGGATCTCCTTTCATCGTTCAACTTAGCACCTGGTCACCTGGTCTTGGTGATCTCAATCACAGATGAAACGAAGAATGCAAGAAAAATCAGAGATATGATTAGAAGCCGAAGAAGAATAAAGCTATCACTAGCTCAAAGACGTAAATAAGCAGTAAGAAACTCAACAAGCTCTTGACTTACCTGTGGAGAATTTCTTCCAACAGGAAGGGCGTCTGGACATCTCGGATCGTTGCTGGCAAATTCGTTACCGAATCCAGATTGGTAATTAAGCTTAAAACATACGTTAAGAATATCTGCATTAGGTGTGAGATTTTGTTCACAAGAATACAATGGTGTACTTCTAGGATTACAACACTTGCCAAATTACCAGATGTGTGGACTTAAATCAAATAAGAAGTATTATTTCACAGTTGATATTACAGAAAAACAATTAGTAATATTTATAACGTCTGCTGAGATCTCTCTGTAGAATCTAACCCCATCCAAGGCGGGATTATTTGTGCTCTGCTGTTACTTACTTGGATAATTGGCCGGCGCGTCCTCGCTAGTTATGCGGGCCCCAGCACGTCCTCTATTCTTTGGAAATTTGCTGGTTTAGCCATGGTGTTTCCCTCCAGTCCCGAGATCAGCCTGGCTAAAGTCCGCTCCAGGTCGTCACCACTACAGGCAGTCGCCGGCCATGTGGATCAGAGGGAGTTTTGTCACTATGCGACTAGTTTGATACCAGGATGGTGTTGGACCCTGGTAATGGTTTATTTTCATGGCTGGCCTTCCTGATGGAAATGCCCGACTCCTTCTCAGCTTTAGAGACCCTGCTTCACCAAGTAATAATTTAGAGGAAATTTATCTAAAACGCGATGTCGTTCCATTCAAGCCCAGTACACTTTTTGTACCATTACCAAAACACAAGGTGCCAAGAGTACAGTCCTCATCACTACAAGCATGTCGTATCTTTGAAGTTCTACTGTCAAATGTGTACGAGTCGAGAAGTGAAGGGCTTAATTCTAAAGTCGATCTGGAGGAAGCAAGCGACTTGGAGAGTTCACAAGAGTATTGGGGATAGAGTGAACAGAACAGAGAACGCTCGATTCAGTGCCCAACTCTTAAACTCCACAACACTATTCTCCCTACCTTAACATGGTCGTTACTCAAACAGGATGAAAGATCACACAGGAGTTTTGAGAGTGGAGTCGAGAGGAGAGTGCTGGGACTATCCGGTACCATGAAAGTGGAGGGAATCCGAAGCACTAACCTAAGTCTACGATCAAATATGAAGGGATCAGATGAGTGACGTCGCTCTGTGCTCCAAAATGTCTAAAATCAGGTGTACCGTAGACATGATGTGTCTGAACGACAATCTCATTTTCACTAGGAAGGCTGAATCCTGAACGCAATTCCATCTCACTGATAAGTTACGCATTCAGTAAGATTTTTAACGATGGCACTAACTTCCTCCTACACGGAGCACGGAGTTTTACGAAAGTCGATATGTTAATGAGCTTGGGTGACTTTATCGGAATACTGGACTCCTCGCTTTAAATTGCAGTTCGACATTCTGTTACCTGATATTACGGCTAGGCTCCGCATCACTCATGGTAATCTTGAGGCGAACATCTGTCGATTGACAAAGATTGACGAGATGATGGACAGTTCAAAAAAGCTCTAAACTAGAGCTTCTCCTTGTCTCAATGGTTTACCGCCTCATCGTGGTTAGGAGGTGTTGCTGAGCGGCGGGCTGTGATGTACATCGGGGGGATTCATCCCTAGCAGGGTCTCTCAAGCCGAGTCAGGCGTTTCCATCAGTAAGTCCAACTAAGAGTAAACCAATACCAGGATCTACCACCATCCCGGTATCAAACCAGTCGCATGATGGTCGATCTCCCTCTGACCGACAACAGCGGCGAATGAGTGGAGTGGTGACGACCTGGAGTAGAATTTGGCTAGGCTGACCTCGGGACTCCAGGGAACCACAGTGGCTAAATCAGCAAAACTTCGAGAAAATGGAAGTTATGCTGGGGTCCGCACAAGTGAGGCAGGTCCGTCCAAGTATCCAGGTGAGCGCAGTTTGTCCCAGTGGCACTAGGTACGACTCTAATCAATACCATAGTAAAAGCATCTCCTGCTTCATTGGAACAAAGTTGAACATTAAAATTTAGAAGAAAAGGTCTTATCTCTACTCTTCACTTAGAGAGGATTTGCAATAAGGACAAAAAGGGTGCAAAGATGGCACAGAGTGATGAGGACGTTGGAGAAATTCTGCGAACTGAGAAAAAAGAATGCGAGTCGAGGCAAAGAATTACAATTGTTATAAAGTCTAACAACTAAACAAAGGATGAACTCAGCATACCTTCTACTTTACTCAACCACGGGTTAATCCAAGGGGTTAACTAAATTTATGGACGGATGGCTCACAGGTCAGAAGCAATTAAAGGGACTTAGCAATGGAGCAGAGGCCACGCCCTATCTCACCACGAGCGTTAACTACATGATGAGGAAGACGTCGAAACGTCAGACGAATGTAAATAAAATAAGGATAAAGGTCTCGGCATTGATCAGTTCCTGAGGGGTGCGCCGTGCATTCGACTTCATTAAGTATCGTTGGAGGTGATTGAATGAATTTCTGGTCTTTACAATGACTCGCGGTGGCCTACCGATATATCGAGCCAGTGCTACTATCCTCCCAGACAAGTCTGGTACCAACCTGCCTACCCCGGAGGGATGGCGCTTGATGGGTCATGGGCACGGGGATCGATTCCTCGTGTGTGCCACGGTGGCGCCCCCAACCACTGCGCCACACGTGCCCTAGGATGCATCGATAGGCCACCACGAGTCATTGTAAAGGCCAAATATGCATTCAATCACCTCCAACGATACTTAATGAAGTCGAATGCACGGCGCATCCCTAAGGGATTGATCAACGTCAAGAGCTTCATTCTTTTATCCAGGCGAATATACACCACTTTTATCAACTTTTTGTTAACTTAACAGACCAGAAAGGTATTGATTGCTACCAGCGAGGTTAAATGACCATCGGTTTGAAGAGTATGGTTTTGGTAATGACGAGGTCCGCACAAGTGAATGTCAGGCTTTTAGTTTAGCTGACAATCCTAACAGTGCCGAGATGGGAAACTGCTCCGCATAAAATCCCATTAAACCGAAAAAATTTGGCTGTGAAGAGTTTCTGACGATATTCGAAGTAGAATGGCCGGGAAATCTGGTGCAACATTAGTGGCACTTTGGCATCTCGGCTAAAGCTTCAGTTAGTGCTGGAAACCGTTCCAAAAACAGAGAAAACTATACGGGAAACTCGGATCAAACGGCGTTGCCACTCTCATGACGAAGCCTAACTTTTTCGCTACTCTGAGAATATATTGGTATTTACATGTACTTTTTATTTGTAGATCGTCAATATTACTAGAAGCGGTTACATATAGGGTCCGAAGAAAACGCGACAGATGAAGAATGAGGAGTGTGAAGTGGGGCTAGTTGAAGTGGATTTCCTTGGGAGGAAGATTTCCTTTGAACAAATTTTTCTTTGTTTTGATGTCAAATTTGAAGACTACAAGAGTTAGACGAAATCACAGGAACATGAACACTACACAGAGTGCTAGACGAACGAAGTAGTCTTCAGCAAATACTTCCACACATCAGCCCATCATTGTTGATTAACGGCCCTTCATTAAGACATAAAGGATAAAGCATTCGTCATTGATCAATAGCCTCACGAATGCGCCAAGCATTCGACTCCATTCGTAACATCGTTGAGGTGACTGAATGTATATTTAACCTATACAATGTCTTGTGGTGGGTAAACATTCTCTGATTCCTGAGGTGTGGAAGGCTCAGTGAGCCCATGGTGTGCGATTGAACCAATGACCACGTGCATATTACAGTGAACCTCTATCCACTGCGCTACACTCGCCCCTGAAAGATCAGTAATCCTTACAAACTTCTACAAAGCGTTAAGAATCGTTCATTAGATTTATATTATGGTTGGTGTCTGGTACTATCGATTAATATGATTTAGTAGAGATCTAGCGATCAACGGTAGTCCACAAGACATTGGAAACAGAAGTCGAAGGAACTGAAAGATTTCTATACCCGTCATGATTATGTAAAAGATAGACATTGTATTTCTTGTGACCAGCTAATGAAATATCGATTTCTACACTTGACCAAGCTAGAAGGGTAAGAGTCTTTAAACAACAGACACTTCTTTGACAACAAAGAAAAAACACTCCTTAGATTTTAAATCATCAAAAGCAAGTAGAGTCGAGGTAACCATTGTGGGAAAAACTCTGGTAAAGTGGTGATCACAGGAAAATAGCTTCATAAAACTTGGATATTTCGACGTAAACGGCTTATGCCACCAGAATATGTTGTTGGCGGACGGTGAACCAACTCAGCAGCAGCTTCATCGATCCCGCCTATGTGAATCTCCTAAAATCTCCTTTTCGTAGCACCGCCTTCCATCCAGCATTCTCTCCCGCCTTTCCTCCAGCACACCAAAAGAATTCCCAGGAGACGCTGGCACTGCCATCTTGTTATATCCCTCAAAGGACCTCTAAGAATATCACGACAGCAGCAGAATTTCATACCACCCGACCATTGAGGGCGAATTTCAACATCTTTCTCTTCAACAAGATCTACCATTGAACGCGTCTGCTAGTCTGTGACTATTTGCATTTTCAACCCTAAGTAATTCCTACAATTACGATCGTCAAAGGACACCGACATGCTAAGCAGGCATTCCAGCCACTCAGTGTTTCCGATCATAGACCTATTTATTCAACAAAAGATTACAAATTACTTCGTCTGATGGTGAACAGGTTGACAAAGTTACCGATATGTCAGAGAATATCACGAGGAAAGAGAAAAAAGAAAAAATGGAAAAAATTGCAGAACAGATAGTCAGCACTTCCAAGGAACTGATAATACAATGAAGATTGGGTAATAAGCAAGCGCAAGCGTATAAAAAAGGACAAAACGTTCCGCGTTGATCAGTCCCTACAGGGTGCATTTTCATCGTCGCAGACAAGCCGGCTACAAATTTGTTGAACCCGGATAGATGGATGGAAGGTTTGGTGAGCACAAGCGCAGAATCGAACCGAAATCGATCCGATGTCCATTTAAACTTAAGTGAAAATCAGTTTTCAAAAATGTGTAATAGTGCCATGTAGAAGTATAAGAGCTGGATCCTAGGAGATCCGGAAATTTATGTTTTTGATGTTGAGTATTCCTACTTTACGGATCGTGCCTGCTCCAGCACATTTTTCATTGGTGTCTTTCTCATGCAATCGTGGTGGTTGGCCGTGTGACGATGTCCACAA